TGACAATTTACCTTCAGCACCATATTCTGGTTTGAATGATTTTTTTTCTTTGAAGTTTTTAAATATCTTGATTTTGTTTCCATCTCTGATACCATATCTGAAAACATACCAATGAAATAATATTGACTAAATGTGAAAATCAATCTACAAAAAAATGAAACAAGAAAAAAAGAATTAAAGAATCATAACCAACCGCCATACCATGCAAGATTAAGCGCCATTTWGTACAAATGGCGAGTTCGTAGGATTTCTTAAAGTGAGCGCGAATCGTCTTCCATCTTTTCAGTTTAGACAGAAATACCTTTAACTAAGTACCTCACAGGTACTATCAAATCTATAATCTATTCTATGCTTGACGCATTTAAAAGTATGTAAACAATAACACCCGCTGTACGCCCCTGTACTCTAGTTGTTAGGATTCTTTAAAGTGATTTATAACAAAGCCATATTTTCCAAGGCTACTTACTCAGAGGAATCGGAGGCCCAAACAAACTCCTGAGCTGAGCCAAAGCTTTTGTTTCTAAGTGCCATTGCAGTATATATAATGTACTCGCCATCGCCACACACTACCACAAATCTACCGTTAGGGTTGTGGGATAAGGTTTGAGGGAAGATTTCACATGAACCCATGTCTTTGATAGAAAGAGTCAGTCTTTCTCCATCCTTGATATCGTCATCTGGAATGAAAACAAGAAATTTGTTCAGTTATTTCGTTGTCTGGATGTATACAGCTATTTCAAGAAAAGTTGTCAGAGTGGAATGACAATTGAACGACCGATAGTTAATGTTTTAATTCAGTTTTTGATGGAAAATACTGACTTATCTAGTGAAAACCACTTAGAAGCAAACAAACCATTATAAAAAAATCTTTATTTGATGGAAATGATAGCATTGAAGCCTCTCATTGGCAAATTTTGCCATCATTAAATCCAAACCTAGAGCGACTTTCTGTTGCGCATTCCGTATTTTCTGTAACAACTTTTTAGAGATAGAGATAATGATGTGTCTTGACATTCACAGAAAAAAAGCACACTGGTACAATAATCAATATTTACCAACTAAATTTTTCAAATTAGCTTGTTGAATCTCGCTGTGCTTTGCAAAGATAATCTTTCCATTAGAGTCCATGGACATGGCTGGCTCTTCTCGACCAAGCTGGAGAATGTAAAAATACATACAATCTTAAATAATCAATTTTTATATAACTGAATGGTTAATGGATGCATG